GTTCTTGCTCTCTGTAAATAAAGCAAAGCCACTTCCTCGTAAGACATTAAACAGAGCCCGACAGAGGAGGGAGGGGCGGCTGTTGCTGTGCAGCGCTTCAAGAGCTGACCTGCGTCTGACCTCAAAGTGCACAAGCGACCAACTTCAGCGTTGGCTGCGATTTTGAAGCTGAAATCGCGTTCGGTGTGAACGCAGCCTAAGGATGCATTTGCAGCACCTGGAGAAATGAATGTAAAATTTTCTGCACTCCTAAAGACTCCAAAACACAGCAAAATGTATTTACCTGATAAAAATGTGGATTTGGCAAATGTCCCCTTTAAACCAGTTTGGTTGAGTGATTCTATAAACTGTGTGTATTTGCTATTTCAGTTTACTGTAATAAGAGGCTGACACCTTTTTGAAAACAAATGGACTGCTGTTTAACAGTGTTACAAAGTAACAAACAGAGGGCAAAGATTGCAGCTTTGGTGAGTTCACTGACTGGACACAAATTGCTTCCCGGTGCCGTCTTATTTGATGGGGAACCACTTTTTAAAGTCACAAAGCAACTAAAGATTTGTGGCCAGATTAGCGCACCGGAGCAGTTTGCACAAAATGTGTTACATGACCCTGTTGTGCAGTAGTTCACAGACAGAACACACGTAGCTCACATAGACACAACCAAGAAGAGACCTCCTACATCCTCATACACCCTTGAAGTTTTTTCACACGCCCCCAACGTTCACCACTGCATGAAAGCACCACAACGCCTCACATTTCTCCTGTCTCCAACTTGGCACTGTACCCTGTGCAGACAGAGCAACGACGTCCACATCAACCTGAACCAAAACCACCGACGGGTTGCATGTGAGCAGAAACGTTTTGAGTGAAAAGGAAGAACAAGGCAGAGGATGGCGCCATTGATAGTGATGATGCTGCTGATGAAGATGGCARCAGCTTCTGCTCCTAGCGCTGAAATGGACCCAAAACCTGGAAATGGAACTGGTGTTCTTAAAGATTTGTGCTACACAGTGGGATTAGGAGTGAAATCCATCCCCTCCATCCCCAGCAACATCCGGTGCTTGTGAGTACACACGCTGACAAACACACATGGATGGAAACGCTTATCTGGAGTGAAAAGTGCTGTTTCAGCATTGCTGAGGTTTCGATTCCCTGGGTTTCTGATGCAACATTAAGGTATTTAGGGCCAATCGTGAAGCCTGCATGTGCATTTAAACCAAACAAAAAGTTTTTTTAGAAAGTTATTTTTGTCTCCTAAAGCATCTATATTTTATGGATACAAAAAGTTCCCATTTTAAAGCAACCAAAATCAGACTAATTAACCACATTTGTATGTTTTCTGCAAAAACTCTTACAGAATTRTCTTGAATTTTTTATAGTGCACATTGTTTGGGGATTTATGATTAAATGCTTAAAATAATTATGAATTTCAAGGCAACGTTGCCCAAATTTTTGTGACTTTTAAAACTTGATAAAGAAAATAAAATAGTGGTAATGCTTCTGAATAGATTTTAAATAGTTGCAAGAGATCTCACTTCAAATGTGACAACTTGTGTGAGTTTTTCCCCTTCTGGACATTTAAAAAGCATACTTTCAATATACAGTCTCCTAACTGAATTTTTATAAATCTCACAATACCCCCTACTATTCACCATCTCCCTACATTAATAAGTATGCTGAGGTTATGCAATGTTTATAAAATCCTATCTAATCCTCCCTCATCTCCTCTCGGCTAAATCTTGTTCGTAACTTCCTCGTTGCTGCTTTTATAAAACATTCACAAACTCAGGGAATATATGCAAAACACGTCTGCTGCTTATCGTGCAGCCACAGGTTAGAAACATCCAGTGGATCTTTTTTTTTTCTTTTACATTTTCTGTAAACAAGCAAATGTAATTTTAAAATCCGTGTTTCGGCTTGTGAGCTGCCTGATTCCACATTTACAGCCTGACTTTGTGCATTTAGGAGTGCACTGCTGCTGTGGATGTTTGATGACCGAATGGTCAATCAGCATAATTCTGTGTGAAACCAAAAGGAGGAGGAGGAAGAAGATAAAGAAAGTCGACAATGTCTTCATTACAGCCCACAGCAGCACCCAGATAAGCTTTATGAAAACCAGCATAGTTTATCTTTCATTTCAGAGCCTTTGAAGTGGGGTTTCTGAGTAAAAATTATCTTACCTGCTGTAGATAGCTCTTTGATTGACCCCATTGCAGAAAAATAAAAGTTCAATTCTGTCTGGACCGATGAGCAAACGGCTAGTCAGAGTGAGGCTAAGATCAAAGTGAATCTTAAAACTCTTTCAAAGCAATTCAAGCAAACACTAACTTTGTACTTCATAGTTACTTACATATGATTCTGTAGTTATTTGCAAGCTTTATCGGTGGCAGCAGCTAGCTGTTACACTTCCTGTAGGGATTATAAGTAAGTAAAATTTAGATATAAAGCAACTTCAAAAGATCGCCAAGTTGAAAACAAGAAAACAAAAAGCTGTAAAAATATAAATGAACCCTTCCACTAAAAGCTTACCTGTATAAAAGCAAATGTTTCTATTGAAGAAATATGACTCGCAGAACTGACTAAAGACTTTAAAATATATTGTTTTCATGAAACTTTATGAGGCTTTTAAGATTGGCGTTGCTTTAAAAATGAACACACTTCAGTCTGTTTGTCTGGGCACGATAGCTCAGTCAGAAATAAACAATTTCTCCAAAATGAAGATGTTCTAAGAGCTATCTATCACAGGTAAGATATTAGCTGTGTATAATCTTATCACAAAACGCTACTTCTAAAGGTCTGAACTATCCCTTAAGGTTCTATATAATAAAAATATTGTTAAGACTTTAAAAACAGTAAAAGTGACAAACTTTGCTCTAATACACAGATGAAATTAAGATGTTATATGTTTTAAAGTCTTTAGATGCTGCTTCATCAGAATAATTTAGCTTTGAATGATTCAGTTTAGCTTCTTTATGTTTTATTTTTATTTTTTTTACAGTCTGCATTAAATGACTTCATGTCCAAACAAGACGACAAACATCTGATCCAAACACTTTTATCACAGCTTCTCTTTCCTCAGCCGACTCTGTTGGATGTTTTATTGCCATCTGTTGGCAGGAATGAGAGAAATTGAATTTCTAAAAAAGGTGTGAACTGGGAATAAAGTAAAAGATCTGAAGAAAACAGAATTTAGACAGCTAAAAAAGTTTGCATTAATTTTAATGTTAATGCAGTGCGATAAAAAAAGATCAAAGCATTCTGACTTTGGTGTCTCTCAGCCCTTTTTGGGGAAAAAAAACGTCCACGTCATCTTCAAAGCAAGCAAAAAATTAGCTGAAAAYGTGGCAGTTTTGCCAGTTCTATGTTGGTGTTGGAAATGGTTTTTTTAACACTTAAACATGTCAAAGGAAAAAAACACTTAAACTAAGAACAAATCATATTTTGAATAACAAAGCTGAATTGTTGGAGTTAAAACAAGCAGAATAGAAGCTAAAATCTATAAATCTAAAACCTTAAAATATCATTGCAAAATGCTATAAAATACAATACAAAATAAGGAAAGAAGAGATATTATGCAAAATCAACTTTTTAAAGCTTTACATCATGTTATAAWGTTATTCCCTCATCAAAAACATACCCAGATTGTTACTTTGCATATTTACACAAACAGATCATGATTTGTTTATGTTACACTATGACTTCAGGTGATTTTTTTTGTCAAATTTTTCAAGGGGAGGGGGGTTATATGTTTTTCAGGCTTATAGTTCAATTCTATACCACATACAAGTAACTATGTTACCTCCAATTGCTATGAAAATGCTATCTCACAAATAAAGTTGACTTTGCATAATAATCTATCTAACCACCTTGAAATTGGCCTCTGTCTTTTTAAGAGCCTCCTACCGTTTCTGACACCCCCGTTACAGCACGTCTTCATAAGAATTCTTTGGGGGGAGGGGTGCTCTGTGGGGCAGGAGCTCGGCTGCAGACTGAGCTCCAGGAAGGAGCAAGTGTTTAGGCAGGGTCCACATGGCTACCACAGGAGATACAAGGATTTCTCAAACTGTCAAAGCAACACTCTGGGTATATTTTTGATGAGGGAATGACATTATACAATGGTATAAAGCTAAAAATAAAAATAAAAAACACTTTGCATAATATCCCCCCCTTTAATCAAGGACATGCTTTGCCCTAAAAGTGCAGCAGCTTTTCCCAGCATGTTTCAGGTGAACTCCGAGGCGGGCGATGCGTGTGTTCTGATCCGTTCCGCTCAAAAGGTCAAGGCTCAGGAACACTTGGGTTATTAACAAGAATGCAGCAATGCATCACAGTCAGTGGAGCTCGACAGAAACCTGAAGCAAAAATTAGCTTGGATCTGAGCTCAAAAGAGTTTGTCAGCTGAGAAAAGATCCTCAGCCTGAGTGACATTCTGATGATGGGACGCACAGAGATGAAAACCTGTTGAAGYCCCATGTTTATCCGTGAAAATCAAAATGTGTGTCAGCACTCCTCCTCGGTGTTGCTGAAGCTAACGCAAGTCGTTGTTTCGTCTTAAACAGGAGCGTTACCCAGACACAGATCAGAGAGATTCCCCCGCAYGCCTTCAGGAACCTTCAGAACCTCAGGAAGCTGTAAGAGTTTGTGTTTTTCTTGGAGAAATAAAATAAAACAACCTGGATTATTTCAGGCAAACAACAGCAACAGAACAGTCGTACATAATGTGTGTTGTCTATATATTTTTTTTTACTTAACAAACTAGTATTTTTATCTTGTAGTTTTACATAAGTGAGAATAAAGAAAGGCATATGTTATTTTCTATGAGCTTAGCAGTAAATATACAAGGATGCTTTATTGCTCCTGCACTGCATCTTTAATTAAACTTGCATTTTAGCTGCCTTTTAGATTTCAGTTAGTCCACAATGTTCCCCTGTTTTCTTTTTCCTGCTCTTATTAGATTAATTATAAGTTTGGGCCTGTTTAAATCCAGAACKTTTATGACACATTTGCATCCCTTTCTCTTCTCTCCTGCTCGTTTAAGATTGATCCGGGAGAACGACGTGCTGCAGCGGATCGGTCAGTACGCCTTTGCCGATCTGCCTCACCTCGCTGACGTGTGAGTATAGGTTTCCGCCATCGCTGCATCCTCTGCATTTTCTCCAAAAACACGTATGTTTAGTCTTTGACTTGGTACAAGTAGAGCCGAAACCTCTGAGAACCTCTGAGAACCTCTGAGCGTGGCTAAAGAACGGAGACTAAACATGATGGACTAAAGGTCAAAAAAAAAAAAAAACGGATGCAATGAATTTAATTTTTAAACTTATGTCAACTCTTTATATTCAGCTGAATTTAGTGAAGGTAATGTATTTACTTTACGACATAATTATTTTTAAAATAAATCTATTATATTTGTCCTTTAAGTGTAAATGAAGACCTTAGATCACATGTGTCAAACTCAAGGCCCACGGGCCAAATGTAGCCCTCCACAACAGTTTATGTGGCCCCTGAGAGCTTCAAAGATGTAATAATGTTTTTCTCTACATCTCCCATAATGCATKTTGGKTATTTTACCCAACAAATTACAACAACCCATCACTGGGTGGAGCAGCAGGCTTCAAAAGTAGTCGACGGCTGGCTGTGTAAAAATTCCATTTAGCTGTATTTTCACCAGCTACTTTTGCTGCTTCCTAATTGTACTGGGAAGTGGGAAATTCCCACATACAAGTTGTAAATTTAAATTGGAACGCCCCTCCAGTGGAAATTCCCAGTCGGAATGTGAGAATTCAAGATGGCAGCCACTCACCACAACTCAACAGGGAGTGAAACTCTCTTAATTTTACTTTTAATAGTATTTCTGTTTTATTTATTTCACATTTAGTCAGTCTTCCATTTAGTACTTTTCAGTGTTTAAGAGGACGTGTAAAAAGGCTGTTTCTGTGCAGGAAATACCATGTAGAGCTCAGTTTGTTAGCTGTGCTCCGCCATAGCAATGAGACAAATGTTTCATATTTAGTCGAACTTAAACGCGAAACGTCAAAGTTAATCACATCTGGTCCTTTGKGGGCCACCACGACGCTCATGTGGCCCTCAGTGAAAATGAGTTTTTTGACACCCCTGCTTTAGGTCATTTTTGTTTTATTTTTTTTCCTGTTTTCTTCAGCTCCATATCTGAAAATGTTGCTTTGGAGACTATAGGAGCGTTTGCGTTCTCTAATCTCCCAGAGCTCATAGAGATGTGAGTATGACCAGCAGGAYAACAGCAGCTGTGAAACCCTGAGCCAGCCAAACCATTTGTGTTAAAACCAATGTGTGTTTCTCTCAGAGAGATAACCAAGATGAAAAACCTGAAGTCCATACATCCTGATACTTTCAGGAACATTGTGAACCTTCAATATTTGTGAGTATCTCTTTTGGAT